GCAGAGGGCATGTATGGCTTCGGGTCATTGAAGGACCAGGTGGAATTCTGCTTTAATTTTGGCTAGGCTTCCTTTTGGACAGATAGATTGATTTTTACTCAAGACTTAACCCACCCTTTTTGTTTTCTGTAGTATGTAGAAATCTTGTAAAACAAACCACACTATATTTTCACCAACTTTTATTTTGAAAAAATTTGAAAACCTGAAAGAACAATACAAAGAACACCCAAAATAACCTTCATGTAGACTCACCAATTATCAACATCTTGTGTAATTTCCTCCTGAGTTGATTCAGATTCATATTTTTTGGCAAGAAGTCCACAGAGGTGCTGCCATGAGCTTTTTACTGCAGCCCAGCAGGAGCCACAGGTGTGTCCTGATTGGTGTTGCTGAGTGTGATCACCTAGTTAACAGGTTGGCCACCAGAGCTCTCCATTGTCAAGTAGTTTCCCTCTTGTGATTAGTATGTAATCTGAAGTGACTTGAGGCCCTGCATATGTCCTGTTCCCCAAGAAACTTTTACCCAGAGGTTTTAGCATCCATGAAAAATCTTCACCTCAATGATTTATAACATGGTCTTTGGGAACAGGAGAGGGCTGAAATATATGTTATTTCATTATTTCTTCTACATTTATTGTCTGACAAGTTTTTATAAAGGCAGGTTTCTCCCATTTCTTTTTTTAAGGTATCCTATGGATTCATAAATTCTTAATGTTTTATAGTGCATTTCTGCCATGGCTCTTTTTGATACCCTAAATGTAGTTGTTTTAATGAATACATAGACCTTCGATTTGAAAATAAAATTATGCCCTGGATGGTGTGGCTCAGTGGTTGAGTGCCTGCCTTTAAACCAAAGGGTTGCAGGTTTGATTCCCAGTCAGGGCACATGCTGGGGTTGCAGGCCAGGTGCCCAGTAGGGAGCGTGCGAGAGGCAACCACACATTGATGTTTCCCTCTTTTTCTTCCTCCCTTGCTCGCTCTCTAAAAATAAATAATATCTTTAAAAAAAGACAATAAAATTACATTGGAGTTAAAGTGCTGAATTTAACTTTTGGCATTAATGGTATTATTAATAAAAATTAATGCTACTTCACAGAATATTGAATATACTTAACAATACTTTAGTCATCATAGATACCATAGTTATAGTTACCAGAGATGTTATCACCAAAGCAATTCTAGGTTAGCTGTAGGGGAAGCACTACTGACCTCAATACTGCTGATGTTTTGCCCAGTAGCGAGAGAAAGTTAGAGGTCAGGACAGGCAAGGGCAAGGGTAGCCATAGCCTTGCTCCATTTCTTGCCGTGCGTGGGTTACAAGCAGGCACTCTATTATGAACATTTAACAGAAGACAAAGGGAACTGAAAAGTCAGAAGAAGTGGCACATTGTTGTGTTTAAACTTTTAATTACGGAAAATTTCAAACACCTAAAAGTAGAGAAATTCAATATAATCTCATGTTCCCATCATCTAGCTTCCAGAATTTACTCATGGCCAATCTTATTTCATCTACCCTTTTTACCCACTTTCCCTTCAATATTATTTTGGAAAGAATTCCAGACATTATTTCTATGTGTAAATATTTCAGTTTACAAAGCTAACATAACCCCAGTAGTATCATGCCTACCTTAATAATTCCTTATAATTAAATGTTCAGTCAGTATTCAGATTTCTGATGGTCCAATAAGTGTCTCTATTTTTTTCAGCTTTTTTGTTTGAATCAATGCTTGCAGTCAGGATCTCTCAATGATAACAGGCATTGGAGTCAACAATTGGTGTTATAGGCACCAGGTCCCCAGAGAACTGTGGGAATCCAGGATTAGTTAGATCTGACTGAGGCAGACTAGGCAGTGAAACCAGGTGGGAAAGCTGGTTGTGTTTGGCAGGCAACTGTAAAATGGCTCTCCCCCCGGTCATATGAAGTCATGTGCCCAATTCATAGCAAAGTTCTGAGCAACCAGAATATGACAAAGTCGGAATGGTGGGGTGGCTGCTTCTGCCTTAAAGCAAGTAAATAACAAGTTCAAATCCTCAAACCGGCCTACAGAAGCCTAAAAAATGCCATTTCTTACAAATAATAGTACTCTGTAAAAACGAATCTGAGTCTCCAGAATTCATACTGCTGTTGAAGTCCCTTCCCTACCAGATCCAATGTATGAAAATTGGGCCCTGGTTGGTGTGGCTCAGTAGACTGAGTACTGGCCTGTGAACTGGAAGGTCACCGGTTCCATTCCCAGTCAGGGCACATGCCTTGGTTGCGGGTCAGGTCCCCAGTTAAGGGTGTACGAGAGGCGACTGATTGGTGTATTGCACGCACATCAATGTTTCTCCCCCTCTCTTTCTCATTCTCTTCCCCTCTCTCACAAAAAATAAATAAAATCCTTAAAACAATAAAAAAATGTCAGACACCTGCTGTTGTTAAAAAAAAGAAAGAAAAAGAAAATCGGAACACTTATTAGGACCCTGAGAATAGAGGTAAGTGAGAATACAATTGCAAAAGGATGCAGTTTCTTCACTCAGAGGAGGCTGTTTTTTCTAAAGACTTTTTCACCAGAGGGGGTCAAGTTTACCAGAGAAAGCCAATTCCCCTCTGGTCACTGCTGTCTTTATTTCCAAACCTGGCTAGTGTGAAGAGTCCAGCATGCCTCCCCTGGAGACCAAACCCAAAGAAATCTAACATGTAGAAAGAATTTGGGGACTTTGCCAATTTATATCTCCAAGAACTTCTGGAACATGTGAAGGAACAGATTTTGAGTGCACTTCTAGGATATTAATATGATGCCCTTACACAAGGTAATTCTAGATTTGTTGAACCCAAGAAGCTGAATGTGGCTTTAATAGTTTGCAAAAGTGTATTCAACAAAGGCCTACAGTAAATGAAGCCAAGATGCCCCAAGTCTTTAGTACAGTACAGAGCAGTGGTTCTCAGACTTTCTTGAGCTTCAGAATCATGGGAGGGACTTAAAAGACAGATTGCAAGCCCCACCCCCAGAGTTAGTGATGCAGGAGGTTAGAGTCAAACCTAAAAATTTGCCTTGCTAACAAGTCCTCGCTGATGGTTCTGCTAATCCTGGGGCCACACTCAGAACTGCTGGTGTAAAGGGAGGAAATATAATACCTTCAAACACAGGAACCTTGGATGGGAGGTTTTGCCTATGTAAATTCCTATTTACTGACCACCTATGTCTTTCCCAAGACAAGCTAGATAACTATACCTTTATCAAGGGTCTTAAACATGGATTAGTCCTGGCTTCAAAGCAACAATATAGCCTTAATTTTAAGGCTATTGAGGTATAATTTACATATAATCAGTTGAAATCCTGCCTTATTTTCAATTTTAGAGAAAAAATATCTAGTCTTTTTACCATTAAGTACCATATTAGCTGTATGGGTTTTTTTGTTGTTGTTTTGATGTTTTTATAGATGCCTTTTATCAGGTTGATCTTACTTTCTGAAGAGTTTTTATCATGAGTGAATGTTTAATTTTATTAAATATGTATTTCTGCACTTGTTGACACAATCATGTGAGTTTTTCCCCTTGGTCTGTGGCTGCTTTGTGCTACGATGGCAGTTAAGTAGTCGCACCAGACTGTGCGACCTGGCTCACAAAGCCTGAAATATTTACTCTCTGGCCCCTCATCTGAAGTGCTGATTCTCAACCCTGGCCACATCCTGGAATCACCTGGAGAACATTTGGGGAAAAAGAATGTCTGCCTCCCCCTCCCAGAAATTCTTACCTAGTTGGCCTGGACTGGCACCTAGCAGCCAAGGCTGAGAACCGCTGGCTTTGTGTTTGTTTGTTTTACTTTCCACTCAACTGTAATTACTCTTATGTGCACTTAGGGCTGACAAGCACTCATCCAGGGCAGTAGTTTCCATGTCTGGATATGTATCTGTTTGTCACCTGGGGAGGTTTTTAAACTATCTTCCAAGACCTCACTCCAGACTGACTACATTAGAACCTCCAGGGACTTTCTTAAGTTCCTCAGGTGGTTCTGATATGCAGGCATTTTTCAAAAGAGGACTGAGCCTAGGGCACCCTATTCGTATCAGCAAGAATTTTGGATATTGATTGAGTAACCAGATGATTATTTAGTGAGCAAGCATAGCAGAGAAGAAAAGGGATTTCTTGAGGCAGTGCAATGCAGGTTCCAGTGATCTTTTGAATAGTGCATGCCATATAGAAATATATCCTTTCTAGGAGTGACAATATACATTCCTATTAGATATGCTACATCTAACCCCTATGTACAGTGCTGCATAAAAAGGAACATGTTTTTCCTTTTTGTTTATCTTTTTATTTACTTCATAAGAACAGGTCATTCCATTAATATTCTTTCTTCTGATAATCACATAAACAGGTTAAATTAATGGAGGTTAGATGATAACCCCCTCACCCCATTCTGTCTTGACTGTATACCCCCATCAACTAGTGTATTTCTCTGATCTCTTCAGTACCACATTCACTAATCATCTCTCTGGATAGTCTCTTTGGAGATGGGTAAGCTCACACAGGCTCTATTTTTACCCTGGGGCCACCTCAGTGCAACTCTATTACACTGATAAACTCTATTACATCTCAGATAGTTGTCCCTCAATTGAGAGTTATCTGTCAATCCTTCATGTATTCACAGTATTGGCTGTGCTCTCTTCAGTTCAGAAATGTGCAAAATCATGCAAGGCTGAGCTGGAAGGGAGTTTAATGCAGACCATCTTGTCTAACCCCAAAAGGACAATATTGTAGGCAGTTTCATTGGGTACAGATCGTGCTAGTGGGGTTTTCTTAGGGGAGCACCTCATACTCTGCCTGATACAATTATTGATGTTGGATTTATAACCTGTCAGGTGTCTGCCTAGCTAAGAAAACCCTCAGCAGGGCCAAGTCCAGCCCTGTGCAGTGCTACTGCTTAGTGGTCAAGTCACATCTCTCAGACTTCCCTACTTGTCTGTAAAATGAGGGAAATGCAGTTCTGTGCTACAGCGTAATTAAGAGGATAAAATCAGTTGATAGAGAATGCATTTTATTAACAGGAAAGTACTTGTTCTTTTTGTTTGGGAAGAGCGTTGCACAGGAAGGAAAACAAAAATAGATAAATTTGAATATCACTCAGTTCCCACATGGGCTTCCAAACCTAAGAGGAATGGTCTCGGAAATAAGAACTCTTAGAATTTTAAATGAGTGCTGTTTGCTAGTTTAGCAATCATTGATTTCCCTATAGGAAAAAGCCATAAGCCATGCTATCCAATAGAAGACTCTATCTGCTTTCAAGAGATTGCAAAGAAGTTAATCGGCTTTTGAAGGACCAGTGAAAATACTATCAACCAATTTAAAAAGCATATGGGATACCATATTTTTCAATTTATTTGCAAGGCTGGCTTAACAAATATAGCACATCAATGGTTACTCTCCTGATGCATTAAATACATAGCTTTAAATTATTTTTACAAGTAAAAACAAACTTTTTTATTTGGCTAAACAAACATTTATTGAGGATGTAATGAGGAATCAGACTGTCTCTCTCCTTGAGGTGTCCCTTGTCCAGTAGGGAAAACAAACATTACATAGCCACAGAAAATGTGCGGACAGAAGGAGACACAGAGCTGCGGGGGCTCTGCAGAGACAGTGGCAGGGGCAGGGTAGGAGCAGGGACAGATGTCAATGCTACACAGAGGAAGCAATAGTTTGGTTGAGACTTAGAAGTTTCAGTGTTGCCAGGGAGGAAGGGCAAATGGATAGTATGAAAAAGGTGAAAGAATGTGGTGTTTGTAGGGACCAGGGTACATCTCAAGATGGCTGTAAGGCAGTGAGAAATGGATCCCCTTTGACAGAATACAGAATGAATACTGGTGCTGTAATCTTACTTTACTTCCCAGTTGGCTGTTTACTCAGTTTTTACATATCTCTAGAAACAGTTTTATTTATAATCTGATTTTTTCCCATTTATCCCTTTGTTACATGTAGAAATATCAACATGCTGGTCACTGATGAAACAGGAAAAGTGAAAATATGTACTCTTTAATGTGCTTCTGTTTTAAGGATTTTGCATCTATTAAAAGCTTTCAGTGTCAATAGCCCCTTGATGAATTCTATAAAACAAAGCATTACCTAAGAGGTGAAATGATAAATATTTGAAACTTCTGTTATTTTCTATTGGTGAATGATTTGTCATAATTTTTTATAGTTGTCCTTCAAAATCCTGGAGGGAGGTGAGAAACCCACTTTGCAGGAGAAACTGAGGTAAGGCATTTTCCTTGGTCTCAATGTGAGAGACTGGGGTATGCTGGGGAGTTTACTGTATTTCATTGTATCAGGTGTCTTAATACCTCCTGATACTATTAAGTTTCAGGGGTTTTCTTGTAAATTTGAAAGGATAAAGCATTTTGAGATTTGTTCTCTGTATTGGAAACATATTACATGGTATCCACAGTGCTGGAACTGTACGGTGCTGCAGGAGCTGAGGCTGGGCTCCTTCTCTCACTATTCAGTATGGAAGAAGGACAGGCAACACCAATTGTTCCAGAAGTACTGATTGTGCAGCTATGCTGTATGTCTCAGAAGTTGGAATGCATGGTGTATGCACTGTTTTATAACCACAATCATGGCTCTGCAGTGTCTTCACTGGATTCTTCTTGGATAAGAAGTATGTTGCTTCTCTTTTCCCAGCTGCTGCACTTGACAACACTGTATGAGCAAATAGGACATTTTAAAATTGTAACTAGGCAACACAAGAATAAGCAGTCTGTATTCCATCTTTTTGTAAATATGGCTTGTGATAAATTATGAAGATTATTCATAGGACAGAGCTGAACTACAGAAACCATGCTTATAGAGTAGGTGGGAGCAGTGAACACCAGTACACCTGCTGGAAGAGGAAACCCACCAACAAAGGAAGCACCAACAGATAACAACAGAAGAAGGTGAGGGAGGGAGTAGAAGCCACACTAACCTCAATCCAGGACCAATCTGGAAATACAACTAAATGGTGGAGAAATTACCCAGAACAAAAAACTGAACAACAGCAAGAGAGAAGCCTCAAAACCTCATACACACAGAAGAATCAGCTTCAACACAACCTGTCCACACCTGCACAATAGAATACAAGAGGTGGCAGATGGAGTGACCCTCAGTTAACCAGCTGGAGGGGAGGACCCACCAAAGAAAGACCCAACAACAATCAAAACCCAAAGACATACAGAGAGCCAACATAAATGAAAGCCCAAGACCGAGGAGCTCAATAGATCAAGGAGACTGCACCACTGAATCACACAGGTCTTCTACCATAGACGTTCACACCATAAACCCAGGGAGGCAGAACAGATCAAGTTAAGAAGCAGAGGCTAACAAGAAGAGTCTCACAAACAATGGGAAGACAAAGAAACAAACCCCAAATGAAAGTAAAGGAGGAAGCCTCAGAAAGAATGCTAAATGAAACAGGCAAGTCAGCTATCAGATACTGAGTTCAAAGCAATGGTTATCAGGAAGCTCAATGAGCTCACAGAGAATTACCAAAAACAACAGGGAAACTACAATGAACTCACTGCAAACTATATCATCATGAAAAAAGAAATAGAAACTATCAACAAGGGCCAAGAGGAAGACAAGAATACAATTTCTGAACTGAAGAACACAGTAGAAGGATACAAAAGCAGGCTAGATGAAGCAGAGGATAGGATAAGCTGGAGGACAAGGTGGAAAAAAAAACACCCAGAAGGAGCAAAGAAAAAAAAAAGAGGCTGAGAAAGAATGAGGAAGGGTTAAGGGAAATGCAGGACAACATGAAACATAATAATATCTGCATAATAGGGATACCAGAAGAAGAACAAGAATAGCAAGGGATAGAAAACCTGTTTGAAAAAGTAATGATGGAAAACTTCCCTAATTTGATAAGAGAAAAAGTCACACAAACCCAGGAAACACAGAGAGCACCAATCAAGAAGAACCCAAAGAGGCCTAATTCCAGACACACCATAATTAAAATAGCAAAATTCCAAGACAAAGAGAGAATCTTAAAGGCAGCAAGGGAGAAACAGGAAGTAACATACAAGGGAGCCCTGATAAGGCTAGCAGTTGACTTCTCAATGGAAATGCTCCAAGCCAGAAGAAAATGGTAAGAAATATTCCAAGTAATGAGAACCAGAGGACTGCAACCAAGGCTACTTTACCCAGCAAGGCTCTCAATTAAGATGGAAGGCCAAATAAGGAGCTTCCCAGACAAAAGAAGTCTAAAAGAATACACCTCCCCAAAACCAGCTCTGCAAGAGATGCTAAAGGAACTGCTTTAAGAATGCTAAGGAAAAGAGTGAGACAGAGAGGAACACAGGTAAGAAAAAAGGGCAATGAATAAATACCTATCAATAATAACCTTAAACAAAAGTGGATTAAATGCTTGAATCAAAAGACATAGAATAGCTGAATGGATATGAAATCATCACCCACACATACCAGAGACAAGAGTCTCTAGCTGCCTACAAGAGACCCACCTCAGTACAAAAGACCTATACAGACTGAAAGTGAAGGCCTGGAAACAAATTTTCCAAGCAAATGGAAAGGGAAAAAGAGCCGGGGTAGCAATACTCATATCAGACAAAATAGACTTCCAAAAAAATGGCCATAAAGAGAGACCCAGAAGGTCACTTCATAATACTCAAGGGAAGAATCCATCAAGAAGACATAAACATTGTAAATGTATATGCACCCAACATAGGAGCACCCAAATACATAAAGAAAATTTTAGAGGACTTCAAGAAAGATATTGACAGAAACACAATTATAGTAGGGGATTTCTTACCCCACTGTCAAAAATGGACAGATCTTCCAAACAGAATATTAACAAAGATATTGTGACATTGAACAATGTCCAGGATCAAATGAACTTAACTGATATATATACAGCTTTTCATCCCAAAGAAACAAAATACACATTCTTTTCAAATGCACATGGAACAGTTTCAAAAATAGACCACATGATGGGACACAAAACAAGCCTCAACAAATTCAAGAAAATTGAAATCATATCAAGCATTTTCTCTGACCACAAAGGACTGAAACTAGAAACCAACCTCAAGGAAAAAACTCAAAAACACTCAAACTCATGGAGATTGAATAGCATGCTATTAAACAATAAATGGGTCAAGAATGAGATCAAGGAAGGAATCACAAAGTTTCTGGAAACAAATGAAAATGAATTCACAACAACCTAAAACTTATGGGACACAGCAAAAGCAGTCCTGAGAGGGAAGTTCATAGTGACACAGACCTACCTAAAAAAAATAGAAACATTTCAAATAAACAACCTAACCCTATGCCTACAAGAACTCGAGAAACAACAACAAAGACAGCCCAGAGCAAGTAGAAGGAAGGAAATAACCAAGATTAGAGCAGAATTAAACAACATAGAGACTAAAAGCACAAATCTAAGGATCATTAAATCCAGGACCTGGTTCTTTGAGCAGGTAAACAAAATCGACAAGCCTTTAAACAGGCTTATCAAAGAGAGAGAGGGAGGGAGGTAGAGAGAGAGAGAACACCCATATAAACACAATCAGAAATGAAAGAGAGATTACAACTGATAACACAGGAATACAAAGGACTGTAAGAAAATTACTACAAAGAACTATATGTCAAGAAATTTGAAAACCTAGGTGAAATGGGCACATTTCTAGAAAAATGTAATCTTCCAAAACTCAGTGAAGAAGAAGCAGAAAGCCTGAACAGACCAATAACAGCAGATGAAATTGAAGCAGTAATCAAAAAACTCCCAGCACACAAAAGCCCTGGACCAGAGGGTTTCACAGGAGAATTCTACAAAACATTTAAGGAAGAGCTAACTCCTATCCTTCACAAACTATTCCAAAAAATTCAAGAAGATGGAAGACTCCCAAACTCCTTTTATGAAGCCAGCATCATCCTAATCCCAAAACCAGATAAAGACACAACAAAGAAAAAAAACTTCACGCCAATATTGCTGGTGAATATAGACGCTAAAATCCTCAACAAAATATTGGCAAACTACATCCAGGAATACATTAAAAAGATTATGCACCATGACCAAGTGGGATTCATCCCAGGGATACAAGGATGGTACAATATTTGCAAATCAATAAATGTGATACATCACATAAACGAAAGCAAAGACAAAAATCACATGATTATATCAATAGATGCAGAAAAAGCCTTTGATAAGGTACAACACCCATTCACAATGAAAACACTCAGCAAAGTGGGAATAGAGGTAGCATCCCTCAACATAATAAAGGCTATATATGAGAGACCTACAGCCAACATCATACTCAATGGGGAAAACTAAAATCTTTCCCACTAAGATCAGGAAAAGGACAAGGTCGTCCACTTTCACCACTTCTATTCAACATAGTATTGGAAGTCCTAGCCACAGCAATTAGACAAGAAAAGGAAATAAAAGGCATCCAAACTGGGAAGGAGGAAACAAAACTGTCACTGTTTGCAGATGACATGATCGTGAACGTAGAAAATCCTATAGACTCCACCCAAAAACTGCTCGACCTAATAAATGAATTTAGTTAAACAGTGGATACGAAGTCAATATTCAGAAATCAAAGGCATTTTTGTATACCAACAATGAAACATCAGAAGCAGAAATCAGAATAAAAAAATCCCATTTGATATAGCAAAAAGAAAAATAAACTACTTAGGAGTAAACCTAACCAAGGAGGTAAAAGACCTGTACTCAGAAAACTACACATCACTGAAGAAAGAAATTAAGGAAGACATGAACAAATGGAAACATATACCATGTTCATGGATTGGAAGAATTAACATCATCAAAATGTCCATACTACCCAAAGCAATTTATAGATTCAATGCAATAGCTATTAAAATACCAACACCTATTAAAGTACCAATATCATATTTCACATATATAGAACAAACACTTAAAAAATTTCTATGGATATAAATTTATAGCTGAATAGCTGCTGAAATTTTGAGAAAGAAGAGCAAAGTAGGAGGGATCAGAATATCTGTTATCAAACTGTACAAGGCTACTGTAATCATAACAGCCTAGTAATGGCATAAAAACAAACACATAGACCAATAGAACAGAATAAAGAGCCCAGAAATAAACACAAGTCTCTACAGTCAGTTAATATTTGGCAAAGGGGGCAGCAACATAAAATGGAATAAAAATAGCCTCTTCAACAAATGGTGTTGGGAGAGCTGGACAGCTACATGAAAAAAAAAAAATGAAACTCAAGCACCACACACAAAAATAAATTCAAGGTGGATAAAAGATTTAAATATAAGTTGTGACACGATTAATGTCCTGGAGAACAACATAGGCAGAAAGATCTCAGATATTTCATGCAGCAACATTTTCACTGATATGTCCCCCAGAGGAAGGGACATAAAGGAAAGAATAAACAAATAGGATCTCAATAAAAGAAAATGCTTCTGCCCAGCTAAAGAAAACAGCATTAAAATGAAAAGAGAACCAACCACATGGGAAAACATATTTGCCAATAATACCTCAGACAAGGGTTTAATCTCCAAAATATATAAAGAACTCACATGACTCCATTCTAAGACAAACAACCCAATTAAAAAATGGGCAAAGGACTTGAGCAGACACTTCTCCAAGGAGGACATACAGAGGGTCCAGACACATATGAAAAGATGCTCAGTATCACTAGCTATCACAGAGATGAAAATTAAAACCACAATGAGATACCACCTCACACCATTGAGAATGACCATCATAAACAAAGCAACAAACAACAAGTGTTGGAGAGGTTACAGAGAAAAGGGAACCCTAGTGCACTGTTGGTGGGATTGCAGACTATTGCAACCACTATGGAATTTCCTTAAAAAAACTAAAAATGGAACTGCCTTTTGACCCAGCAATTCCACTGCTAGGATTATATCCTAGGAACCCTGAAACACCAATCCAAAAGAACCTATGCACCCCAATGTTCATAACAGCACAATTTACAATAGCCCAGTGCTGTAAGCAACCTAGATGCCCATCAGTAAATGAATGGATCAAAAAAATATGGTACATTTACACAATGGAATTCGATGCAGCAGAAAGAAGGAAGGAGCTCCTATCCTTTGCAACACCATGGATGAAACTGGACAGCATTATGCTAAGTGAAATAAGCCAGGTGGTGAAGGGCAAATACCATATGGTCTCACCTTTAACAGGAACTTAATCAACAAAATGATCAAGCAAGCAAAATATAACAAAAGAAACTGAGATTTAGAACAGGCTACAGTGACCAGAGGGGAGAGGGGAGAGGATTTCAGGGGAAAAGGGTGAAGGGTTTGCAGGAGCAAGTATAAAGGACACATGGACAATAACAAGGCAGGGGTGGAAACAGGGGAGGAAGGTGGGGAGGGCTGTGGTGGTAAGGCAGAAAACTGTACTTGAACAACAATAAAAAATGATTCATAGAAGGAACATACTGCTATTTTGAGTACAACAGGGTCATTAACCATAGCATTCTAGAAAGAATGTAGAAACTGCACAAGTTCTTTTTCTCCCAGATCCATAGAACAACCACTTGGCCCACTGTCTACACTGTGTGGCTCGCAAAGAATATTTATGACTGAAGCTGTGACTGAAGTTCATGCTCACCAGTTATAATGGAAACTAGGACAAGAAGCCATCTGAAAGTAATTAATATAGCATGTAATTTCAATTTTAAAAATACTGAACATTTCAGGGTTAAAAAGATCTCAGAAGACCAATGACATTTACAATATTAGAAACATTATTAGATGGATAACTACCCTTTATCCAGCAGCACTAATTTTTCTGGTTATTAAAGTAATGTGTTCATAACAATATTTTTAAGTATCTGAAGACTAAAATTAAAAGTATCCATTATTCTACTCCTCATGTAGGCAATTCTTATTAAAGTCATTTTTCATGATATGGACACACCATTTTACTTAACCATTGTTGGACATTTTTGTAATTCAAAACACTTTTACCATAACAAACTTCTTTTTATATAAATATTGCTACTACTGATCATTTCCTTAGGATAGGATTCTAAAAGGAATCACTGGATCAAATACCATGAACATTTTAAAAGCCTTTCATACATATTTATGAACTGCTTTCCGAAAATGAGAGTGCCAAATAACATCATCACCAGCTGTGTACAAGATTGATTGTGTGATCATGTGCCCACTAGCCAGGCATACCACTTCAATAGGTGAATATTCTCTTTTAAAGAAGATGGCTAGTAAAAATCAGTTTTCATAAAAATTACAGAGGAACTATAAATAGTATTGCACTCTGTCTTACATAGACTGAGGTATCAGAACTCAATTGGGATAATATGCATGGAGATCCCACTATAAATGAAACATGGGCTGACCCTCTAAGGCAGGGGCATCAAACGAATTTTAACTGGGGGCCACAGCAGCCTTGTGGTTGCCTTCAAAGGGCTGAAATAATTTTAGGACTATGTAAATGTAACTACTCCTAACTGTGAAGGAATTGAAATTACATTTGGCCCTTTGAAGGCAACCGTGAGGCTGATGTGGTCCCTGGTGAAAGTGAATTTGACACCCCTGCTCTAAGCAGTTCACAGTCCTGGGAGAATGCCTACAGTCTGTGCAGGTAGCTACTGTCCTTCTGACCCACAGCCATCTCCCACAGTGCTGAGGAGAAGGCAGCCTGAAGACCGTGCCCACCTTCTTCTCCTGAGGCATCAGGGATGTGGTATCACATAGGGAATGGGCCACAGCCAGCGGAGACAGTGGAATGAGCTCTCAGCTCAAGGCGCTGGCCCCAAGAATGTGTCAAATATACTGCTTGGGCACTTCAGCAACCACTTACTTAATAACTTACACTTTTTGTTAATTGAAAGGCAAAGGGAGAAATAAACATTTACATTTATGCTTCTGCTCTATCTTTTCATTCTATGTACTATTCATCAAAAGCATTTTGTACTTTGTATTTATTTGGATATTGACAATTAAAAAGGGAGTCACTAAACAAGACAACTCTGGAAAGAGAATTCCTAATAGTCATTGCCTACTATTTGCTCTTTTCATTCATCTAAGAATCCATATTAAAGTATATCTTCTTATAGTAGTCTTTTGGCCATCACAGGATATTACACTCTAGGAAACCACAGTTTGGAGATATATATATATTTTAAGATGCTAATTTTATTTATTTAATTTTTAAAAATCCTCACCCAAGGATATTTATTGATTTTAGAGAGAGAGGAAGTGGGGAAGTGAGAGACAGAGAAAGGAAGATGTGAGAGAGAAACACGAGGAGGAGGGGCCAAGATGGAGGCAGAGGCAGAAAGGCTTCCCTTCCTCGCACAACCAAAAGAGGAAAACAACCAATTTAAAAACAAAGAACAACCAGAACTGTCAGAAGAATATTTGCATAGAAGTCCAACAACCAAGGAATTGAAGAAACATTCAACTAGAGGTAGGAGGGGCAGAGATGGGCAGCAGGGCAGAGAGGACGAGGCGAGGAGGCAGCTGGAGGGCCATGCCGGCAGTCCCACATTGGCTCACAGACAAGCCTGGGGGAAAGCAGGGGAGCTACATGGACCTCAAAACCCTGGGTTCCAGGGAGGGCAACTAAGGACTCAAAAGCACAGTTTGAGGAAAAGATCTGTGGGCATTATGGAGACAGAAGAAACTCTCAGCCTCATAGGGGAGTATGTTGGAGAGACTCATGGGATCCTAAAATGAGCACAAACCCATCCACCTGCAAATTAGCACCTAAAGGGCACAAACCACTCGTGGGAAGTGAGGGAAGTGACGGAAAGTGGGAAGAGAACAGAGCAAGTGACATTGTTCCCTCTCTGACCCCTCCCCCACATACAGCACCACAAAGCAGCAATGAGGGTTGCTCTGCCCTGGCAAATACCTAAGGCTCCACCCATTACACATAACAGGTGCGCTGATACAAAGAAATATGGCCCAAATGAAAGAAGAGATCAAAGTTCCAGAAAAAGAGCTAAGGAACAAGGAGACAGCCAACCTATCAGATGCAGAGTTCAAAACACTGGCAATCAATCAGGATGCTCACAGAATTGGTTGAGCTCAGTTGCAAAATGAAGGAAGAAATGAAGGCTACACAAGGTGAAAAAAGGAAAATATACAGAGAACCAACAGTGAAGAGAAGAAAACTGGGACTCAGATCAACAGTTTGGAACAAAAGGAAACAATAAGTATCCAACTGGAACAGAATGAAGAAACAAGAATGCAAAAAAATGAGAAGCTTAGAAGCCTTTGGGACAACTTTAAATGTTCCAACATCGGATCATGGGAATGCCAGAAGAAGAGGAAGAGCAAGATATTGAAAACTTACTAGAACAAATAATAAAGGAGTATTTCCCCAATCTGGCAAAGGAAATAGGCTTCCAAGAAGTTCAGGAAGCTCAGGGAGTCCCAAAAAAGTTGGACCCAAAGAGGAACACACCAAGGCACATCATCATTAAGTTACCCAAGATAAAAGATAAGGAGAGAATCTTAAAAGCAGCAAGAGGAAAGGAGAGAGTTACCTGTAAAGGAATTCCCATAAGACTATCAGCTGATTTCTCAAAAGAAACCTTATAGGCAAGAAGGGACTGGAAAGAAGTATTCCAAGTCATGAAAGGCAAGGACCTACACCCAAGATTGCTCTATCCAGCAAAGCTTTCATTTAGAATGGAAGGGCAGATAAAGTGCTTCCCAGAGAAGGTCAAGTTAAAGGAGTTCACCACCACCAAGCCCTTATTATATGAAATGTTAAAAAGACTTATCTATGAAATAGAAGATCAAGAACTATGAACAGTAAAATGACAACTAACCCACAATTATCAACAACTGAACCTAAAAAACAAAAACTAAGCAAACAACTAGAACAGGAACAGAATTATAGAAATGGAGATCACATGGAGGGTTATCCATGAGGAGGGAAAGGGGAGCTCTGGGCGGGGGGAAGGTACAGGGAATAAGAAGCAGAATAGGTAGGCACAAAATAGTCAGGGGGAGGTTAAGAATAGTATAGGAAATGGAGAAGCTAGAAAACTTGTATGTATGACCCATGGACATGAATTGGTGGGGGGGGGCAGAGTATGGGGAGGAGGAGAGTAAAGGGTAGGAAAAAAAATGGGACAACTGTAATAGCATAATCAATAAAATATACTTAAAGAAGAAACATTAATTGGTTGCCTCCTGTATGCAGCCCGACTGGGCACTGAACCCACAATCATTTGCTGTACCAGGTGATGCTCCAACCAGATGAGCTTTTGATGCTAATCTAATCAATTGTTCATATTTGAAGAGACTGGGGCAACTTCTCAGAGTGTCCATCTGACCCACTCTTTCTCCTAGTTCTCGTCAGCCATGTCACTGCCTCTTTTTTCCTAAGTCTCCAAAATTATTGAAAGATGTCTTCATGTCCAAATTTCTTGAGAAAAGTATATTCTGAGGCTACACTTCAACAGATCTATGCAGTTTTATTGGTGAGATTAGGAAATTCATTTAAGTCAGCTATCCTTGCACAAAATGATTAAAACTCAGTACATACCATAGACTGATCACTGGAATTAGTAATAGACCGGCAGACAGCAGAAAGGTAAAGCCTGAGTACCACGCAACAGTTGCTGAATAAATTCCATTAAAGGTAGAAGCTGCAGTGACTCCGCCAAGTGTTTCTAAGAAAGCAATACTTGCAAACAGGGTCCCTATTTGGGGTTGGGGTATAGGGGGAGAAAAAGAAAAGGCTGAGTTACACAACAGCAAATGAGAATCAACTGTTACTCCTTGAAAAGAACAAGCATGGAGGCATAGCTTGGTGAGTGAAAACTATCCCTTCACCCTGGCTGGCATAGCTCAGTGGATTGAGCACGGGCTGCAAACCAAAGTGTCACAGGTTCGATTCCCAGTCAGTGCACATGCCTGGGTTGCAGGCCACGGCCCCCAGCAACCGCACATTGATGTTTCTCTCTCCCTCCCTTCCCTCTCTAAAAATAAATAAATAAAATCTTAAAAAAACAAAATAAAAAAAAACCTATTCCTTCAAAATTCCTGAGAAGTCAGTTACCCATTTTATGGGTTAAGAAACCAAGATGAAGAGTTATCCTTGGACTTGACATGAGAGATGCTGAAAACACAATACCATTGGCCTTGAACAATGTGGGGATTAAGGGTACTGACCTCCTCTCCCCCTATAGTGGAAAACTGTAGTTGTTCTTCGGTGCCTGCAGACCACTGGGTCCAGGGCCCCTGCAGATACCCACATCTGCAGATGTTCAAGTCCCTTATACACAGTGGCCTACAATAATGCACAGTGGTTCCAATGACAATAGGATAAAGCTAAAAGTTGTCACAATTCACAATAGGAAATTCCAAAATGTAAATTAAACATTTTTAAGTGTCACTACATTAAACAATATGAAATGACTTTTTAAAAGCCTTTATAAATAAATTAAATAAAATATGAACAAAAATAAACTACACATCCTGACAAGTCTATTTGAGCTCTAAGTCAAACAGATAGATTTTTCTTTTTTCCCTGAACAGCATGAAATATAAATCACAAACCATAAAATTCACCCTTTCAAACTGTACAGTTCAGTGGCTCTTAGTATGTTTACAGAGTCAGGCAACTACCACTACTAATTTTAGGACATTTTTATCACCCCCAAAAAGAAACTCCGTACCCATCACTCCCTTTGTCCCCAGCCCCCGGAAAACAATAATCTAATTTCAGTCTCTATTGATTTGCCTTGTTTGAACATTCATACAAATGGAATCATATTTATATGATAATATGTGGCCTTTTGTGACTAACTTCTTTCATCTAGCATAATGACTTCAAGGTTTGTGTTGTAGCATGTGTCAGTACTTTATTTTTTATTGCCAAATAATATTCCATTGCAGAGACACACCACATTTTGTTTCTTCATTCATCAGTTCACAAACATTTGCATTGGTTTTGCTTTTTGGCTGTTATAAATAATGCTGCTATGAACATCTATATACACAATTTTGTGTGGACATGTGTTTTCATTTTTCTTGGTACATACCTAGAAATGGAACTGCTGAGTCATAAGGTAACTATTTAACTTTCTGAGGAGCTACCAAACTCTTGCAAAATGGCTGTGTCACTTTACACTCCCATCAGCTGTGAGTGAGGGTTCCAATTTCTCCACATCCTCAGCAATGCTGTCCTTTTCATTTTAGCCATCCAGTGGTTTTGATTTCCATTTTCTTGATGCCTAATGATGTTGAGCATTTTTTCATGTGTTTTTTGGCCATTTGTATGTCTTCTTTGGAGAAGTATCTGTTTAAATACTTTTCCCATTTTTCAATTGTCTTTTTGCTGTTGAGTTTTATGAATTCTTATATATACTGGATACAAGTTCCTTATCAAAACATGTGATTTGCAAATACATTCTCCTATTCCATGGGTTGTCTTTTCACTTTCTTGATGATAGACAAAAGTTTTTAATTTGATTAAAGTCTAATTTAACTATTTTTTCTTTTATTGTTGTGCTTTTGGTGTCATACCACTGCATGATTCAAAGAAGCAAGTAGATTTTTACATACTATACTTTACATACTATACATACCATACAAATTTTTATATTCCTAAGTGGTTTTCCACTTACCATCACATAATCTGTAAACAGCTGTGTAAACATACGGCTCTATCTTATGAGTGGAAAAGAATCAAGAAATATATTTTTGAATTTATAGAATTACGTAGTGCTCCCCAGTGTTGACTAAACTGCCGTAAATAAAAAAGCATGACTGTGAATTATTCATAAACAATTAATGTGAACATTTGCACCAGCCTAAGATGTGAAACAAAGGAAAGCTCCAAAGTCCAATAATACTCAGATGTTACAAAGGGGAAGGAGGACAACTCCATATGCCTGATATTTAACTAGTAACTAGTTCTCCTAGAAATTTAACTTTCATTTTCCTTTTGTACTGATTATTTGCTGTCCTCCCCCTTCAACTGTACTCTCTCCCTGCCCTGCCCTGTGCTTGGGAGGCTCACCCCACAAGTTACATGACTTGGCCTTCCTTGGCGGCCTGATGGCCTGTTGCACTTGGTCAATGGGATGAACGAGGAGATAGAAAGGTTGTGGTGTTTCTTTTCTGCTCCCTCACTATTCGGGCCATCCTGTCTGGGTGCCTCCACACTGCACACTCCTCTCTAACGTCCTTCATTAACATCTCTTCATTGAACCATCTGAGTGGGGTCCTGCTTTTACTCTGAATCAGGCCCAGCATAAGAATACAGTTAGAGGCCTCTATGTTATATTCCAAGTATTTAAAAGTTATAATTCTGACTAACAAACTGTTAACTAAGATATGTTCTGTCTCCTTACTCTGAGAAACATACCTTTGTAATGCTTTGGGAGGTCAGACATGAATTTAGAATTCTCAGACTTTTGAGAATCCCATGTAGGAAACTGACAGTGCTGGCCTTTCATCTCCAGCTGCAGGCTGCAGCCCACCATGTGTCCCACCTCTTGCTCCATCCTGCTCAGAAAGGGCCCTTCACACATGGCTGTGCACACCCTGCTCTGCAATTCCAAGGCTAGGCCAGGTTTCCTATAAAAAGTCACTGCTTGGCTACCCCTTTGGCCTAGAGGTGAGCACACTGGGCTCATAGTCCTCCTTCAGAAGAAAGGATCTAAGGAAGAGGATCATGCAGGCATCACTGGACATGATCCCAGAGCTGTTTGGCTGGGAATTATGGGGACCCAGGTACCCAGAGCATAGTCTAAAAGGGGAGAGGTGCTGTGGGCTCCCAGAGGGCATATCTGCCTGGCCTTGAGGTCTCCCCTCCTCTTGGGGCAGGGCCTGGCCAGAGCAGGCCGCCTAAAGCATGTGGCCCTGGGCAGGGGCTCCCTTGTCTGAATAGAAGCCTCTCCCTAACACAGAACTGACCACTTAATTCAAAAGGAGTCTGTGCAGAAAAAATGCTGTGGATCCTCTGAAGAAGCAAACATTGATCATACCTAGATTTCAGTGGTACAGGGTGCAGATTCATTATGGTCCTTAAGCAAATTAAACTTACCTTGTTCGGAAGAACGAACCACTTTCGACATCATGGACCGCAGAACAGAGATCGGCACAACAGTGAAGAGGAAGGGCAGCCTGACTGTGAGAGACAGTTGGAAATCAGAAAACTAACAGTCAATTTTAAATGTCAAAGACTTTCTCTCTAAATATTTTATTTCTATAGGCATCCTAAGTGATGGCATCTAAAAACTGAATGAAATGTAGGATTCTATTTAATGAGTTAAGACAGACTCAAGACAGATCAGTTTAAGGCTAGTTTACTCTTGCATTCTTAATCCCAGTACTAAGAACAAGAACTAATGGAAGTTTTAGGTTCAGAGGTGCCAATTGGAATTGATCGGCTATTTCCCCAATTATTGTAGTAAACTCTTGTGTAGTTTTTTTCTGTATGTTTTTTGTTTTTGATTTTTCAGACTTGGCATTTTTAGTGTTAGCATCCTTTCAATGACCAATTTGCCATAAAGAAGGTTTTTCTTAAATGTATTCAATGAGTATGAATTTTTCTTCTGAATTTGTACTATGTACTTTATATGACTGTCTTAAAATTTTTTACAGGAAGTAGCCTTAGCAGCATTTTAAGAAACACTCAGTTTGGTGAAAGCTATAGTGAAGAACTGATTCACAAGAAGAATGTTCCTCAAAACATTTTTTTTGAGAATATGTAAATTTGGAAAACTGTGGTTATTATGTAAATTATTTTTTAAAGCAAATTGGTCCTCAGCTCCTGGCAAACTAGCTGTTAACAAATTACCTTTAATTGAATTATAATGCATTAAACAGAAAATTTTATATTAAAGTTTCTCACCCAACAGACTAAATTCATTTTACATAAACCTCATACACAGTTAGTTTTAAGGCTACATGTGTAACTCACCTAAAAACATCATCAGCGTTGTTCGGGCAAAAGCAGTCATAGCCATTCCCACCATGGTGGTTAAAATTCCAATGAGGGCCATGTAGATGTCTTCCATACAGTAAGAAAAAAACCATATTCCCAGGAAACTACTCAAAAAAGAGACACTATCTAAAGCTGACCCATAACCTATAAGAACTTCATTCCAGCAGAGTGGTGAATCCAATTCATAGAGGATAAAAATGGAGGAAACGCCACTTATCACAAAAAAATAAGTGATCATTGTGAAAAGTAACAAACAGAGCAAACACCGTCGCTCACCGGAAGCACTTTTAAAAAGCATGTAAGTTTGGTAAAATAGGTTTTTTAAGCTTTCACAATATGATATGGAAATAATCTGAGATGAAGACTTTTCCATTGAATCACCAAGAAAAAATAAAATATAAATCAAGTTAACAGTAAGAACTATAGTAACAATGAAAAAGGACCACTCAAAACCTAATTCTCTAATAAAATAGCCGGAAGACAATCCTGTTAATCCAGTAACAATTCCAAGTAGGAAGTCAATGATAGCTATTCGAATTGTTTTTTGTTTCTCTTCTTTACATCGATCAACTATGTAGGCAAAACAGGCACCCCAAAATGTGGTATAATTGCCGCAAAGGGCCCCAATGAAGGTGGATGCAATCAAAAACTGGAAGGGAAAGGCAAAATAGGAAAGCAAACAGAGCCAGATGCTGGTCGCAAGAGCACTGGCTGAAGTCAAAATCAAAGGAAACTTTCGTCCATGGTGGTCACTGTGGGACAGAAGCATGAACGTGGACACTAAGCCAGGAATTAATCCACTTAAGTCCATTTGCAGATTAAAAAGAGACACTTTTTTCTGAACTTCCTGCAGAAAAATAAAAAGAAGATCATGTGTTTACAGAGGTGTGTACAATGCACATAAAGCCAGCGCGATGTGTACTATATATCACTATACTAGTATACGATGTGTACTATATAGGAGGTCAGGGATGGGAAATCTGGTGTGTGGGTTCACACAGCTTAAACCTTCATCCAGTTCACAAAGCAAACGTCAAAAGGCGATACCATCATCAATGTTCAGTCACAGAATTCAAGTTCCATGGTGGGCACATTAATCCGCAAAAGTGAAAATACGTGTATCAACGGTTGTCTGTCTCACACAGGAGACCCACAGACCTCGAGGCCTTGGGGACTGGCCAGGCACTGACTTCTCTTTCCTGTACAGAGTTAGCACTGAGAGAGCAGATCGCTGCTCCAGCCAGAGCAACATCCTTTCCCCTGGCACATCTTTCTCTCTACTCTGAAGGGGAGTGAATATCACGTGTAAATGTCACATTTGATAGACCTTATTTAGGAAGCGCTCCGATGTCCTTTTTACACACGTTTCCACAAATACATTAGGGAGAAACACTCCTTTATTTACTAAAAATTAAGATAAAACCCAAATAGGAGTTTTGCACTGACTAAAATGGAAAAGTGGGGTAAACTAAGGAATGAGATAAACTCAGCTCCCCTGAGGACCTCACCAGCTATGCACATACACAGACTGGCAGCGTAACAACTGTTATACTAGTTATTTGACAGAAAAAATTGGGGTAATATTAAAAGCATTTCCTGCTTGTCACTTCCCTGTATTTTCCAAATTTTATATAAAGAGTATGTGCCATTTTTATAATGGGGATTACTAAGCTCATTAAAAAAGTTTTATTCATGTAATATTTAGAAAGTACCCTAAACAACTGATGAACCACAAAATTATCAAATACTGAATTAATGTTGTTTTTTTTAAAATAGTGAGCCTATTTCCATTTTTACACAGTCATGCAATTCAAACAATTCCATGTGGCCAGAAAATGTTCTCGTCACTCAGCCTGAAAACTTAGCCATCTTTTTTTAAAGATTTTATTTATTTATTTTTAGAGAGGGAAGGGAGGGAGAAAGAGAGAGAGAGAGGGAAACATCAATGTACGGTTGCTGGGGGTCGTGGCCTGCAACTCAGACATGTGCCCTGACTGGGAATCGAACCTGTGATGCTTTGGTTCGCAGCCATGCTCAATCCACTGAGCTATGCCAGCCAGGGCTTAAAACTTAGCCATCTTAGCTCTGGCCTTTCCCTTTGCCTCACTTGTGCCCCACCGACACAGTGCATTCTGTCACCCATGTTTTTCAGGCCCCTTTCCTTCTTTATAGTCCCATGGAGCGACAGTGGACCGACAACTCTCATTCATTTTCACCTGGACCACCCTGGCATCTGACTGATCTCTTTATCCAATTCAGTAAGCATGGCCAGTCCTCTGACTTCGAAGACCACAGACACACGATCTGCACGACTTTCACCTGCCTAAAAGCTTCAGTATCTCTCCACTGCCTGCTGTAGAACCTTGACACTCCTTAGTCTGGTAAGAAGGCCACCAAGAAGCGATCCAACCTCACTTTCCAGCATTGACCCTGCTCACTCCCCAAATACTCTCTAAGTTCCAGGCACAGTCCAACCTGGATGTCCCTGAAAAGTCCAAACAGATGTAGCTTCCCTTTCTTCTGGACCTTCCCACACAACAATTGCCATTCCCCAGCTGTAGTTCTTGGCACAATGATTAAGATTGAGCTCTGGTGGCAGATGAATATGATTCAAATCCAGCCGGTCAGAATGATCTTCACAGCAATTCTAACGATCTTTACAAACACACTTCAGTTCCTGTTACTCCTTTCCTCAGAATCCCCTAATGGCTGACCTCACAGTGGAATACATCCCATTCCTTGCGGTGGCGGTGGGTGGCATGGGTGATCCAAAACCATGACTTCTCTGATTTCATCTTCACTTCCTCCCTCCTCTTGCCCCTCAAACACACCATGTGCATTTGCTTTTGCATTTGCTTTTTTCTCCCCTGACTGTCACACAGCTCACTTCCTCAATTCAAATGTCACCTCCTTAGAGGGCCTACTATGACCAGTCTCCTAATTCAAAGCAATTCCACTAACCCCATCCAGTGCTCTATCCCCTCCGGGGCCAGGATGTTTTAACCGATCCACTCATTGCGTGCTTCCTCCACTATAACCTATGCTTCAGGAGGGCTGGGACCTTATCTTCCTCACCACAGTATTGCTGCCTTCTAGAACAGTGACTGAATGAATGAATAATCAAGAAAAATATGACTCTAGAACTTTCTAGCACAGCTAGCAGACACATATGATCCTGACCAAATTAGTTCTATAAGAGCTTCTCCCTCAGACAAGGGAGGATAACAACAGCCCCTATCTTGCAGGCTGTTGTGAGAGTTAAATTAAAGTACATATAATGTACTTGTACTTGGGCACAAGGTCCTAGTACATCATCAGTGTTCACTCATTTTAGCCATTTTATTTGTATAAGATCAGACTTCTTGAGCATGTCTTTGTATCTCCTACAGATACAGTAGCCATTGGATAAATATCTGTTGAATAAATAAATGAAACAGCTATCTTTTAATCAACTTGTCAAAAGACATTCTGTTTTGGGGTTCCCCCTTCCACTTCCCCCCTCCACCTGAGTCCCAACTTCTCCTATTTGCTGTCATTCCTATCCAGTCTTTCACAGGCAACACTCCTTGTCTCTAGCTTATGTTTTACAATACAGTTTTTTAAGAAATTCAAAGCATACTTCAAACATGAGTCAAAGTTAAGACATAAGTTGTGTGTGTACCTTTTAAACCCTGGTGAATTACAATGATATAATATATAAGGGTAAATGGGAGAAATCAGAGTTTTAAAAAGTGCTATTTTCTATCTGACACTGGACAGAATGACAATGTACTGAGACAGGGAAAAAGTAAGGAAAGTAACGGCAATTTTAAAACAGTCACAATTTCATAGGCCAGAATGTTTGCATTAATCCCAATGAAATGGAAGATATTCCTTTTCTGTTGATAGCAAGGGATTGTATTAGTTATTAAAAGTTTATATAAAAATTGTTGAGCAAGAACAACTTTGTGATCTGTTGGGAACCCTAAGTTGTCCCCTCCAATAGCAAAGTCCCTGTCTTGAAAGTTGTCCAGATAGACCCCAATGACCAACTGAATTTCAAAATGAACCATTTAGCAAGGGAAGGAAGGAGTGGAAAGGGGATTAGAAATTCCTTCCTCCGCAAAAGTCAACAAACACATCTAGAATTTTCTACCTCTTTACCCTTAGCCCAGAGTTTCCTTCTCACAGCCTCCCCATTTTGTTAAGGGGTCCTTTAGAAATTGATCTCTTTGCCAGGGAAGAGTGTTGGTGTACCTCATTGTCACAGGGCTCAGAAAAGTTGAAGATTTGGAAAATAGGTTAGATCAATATTTATTTATAAGAATATATATTATATATAAGAATTTTATATATTAAGAAGATGTAAAGAAGATATATATAAGAAGATATCTATTAAGAAGAATATATTTTATATATTATATATAATTAATAAGAATATTATATATTTATAAGAATATATTATATATTAGATCTCATCCCTAAATGGGTGGAAAATAAGACTTCCATCCAGATTTTTAAATGTTTAATATAAATGAAAGAGCTCAGTTTACTCTTATAGCTATTTCTTGAAATTCACAATATTTTCATTCTAGTACATGTATATGTATATGTATTTGTTATGTAGGAATGATAAAGAAATATGCTATAACAGCAAGAAGATCAACACGTTACCATATTATGCACCCTTTTTACACACAATTGACCTTTTAGGGGGCTGGCAAGAAAAATTTGAGCTGGAGAAATCATTCATTCATCTATTCATTCAGCCAGGGACCGACCCTGTCCGAAACAGGAACAGGCCACACACTGCTACACTTCTTTCAGTGAGTGAGTGGCCAGAACCCACCCAGCAGAGCCGGGTGTTGAGACAGAAGCTCAGGAAAGAGAGACATTTGTGTTTTGGATTTGAAAAGAAGAGAGTATTCTCTGAGAAGCTGCACAGGCACAGTATCCAGAAAAGGGGCTAGCAAGAAGTGCTAAAGGTGATGGTGGTAGCTCAGAGAACCAAAAATGTCCCTCTGTCTCCTAAGGAGCAAAAGGGAAGAGGCTGCCAAGGCCCGCCCCCGCTGGTGGTGGTGGTGGGGCTTGTCTCTAGTTCCCCAGTCTGAGAAGATGCACCTGTGGCTCCAGAGCACCAATGTTAAGGGAAGGGATCTAGGAAAGTATGTTCTCTTGGATATCAATCCAAGCAAAACACAGTAAATGAAACAATAGTCAATTAATTAAAATTTCTGGCAAAAATCTGCAAAATGAGACCATTGCTCCAGGCAGCAGGGGCTTTCAGCAGCTGGGTCAGGCCACAGGTGAAGCCAACACTCAACTCATCACCTGCACAAGTCACAGAGGCCACCAAGGGGGCTGGACCAAGGCCTGTCTCCCCTCACTCTGACAAGGGAAAGGCAGCCAACTTTTCCAAAGTCCCAGCCCTCTCATTCTCCTTCCCTTCACTGCTCCCAAGGGTGTGGTGAGCCTACTGAGCCTTCCGACTCCCAGGGAATGACATATAGATCATAGGAAACATTCTTGAAGGGAGATACACCACGAGGTGAGACCTTGACCTTTCTCTTTTTATGACTTCATTCTAGGCTAGAACCTTGATGTCTACATGATTGCCCAGAAATGATCAGTTCCACGGAAATCTCTCCCATGGAATTGAGAAAATGAGTTAACAGAGAGGGCTGTGCCAAACAGCCAGGCCTCACCCGGCAAGGCTATGCCTAACACCTGGGGGAACCCCTCAGGAAGGGCTAGAGCAGGGGTGTCAAACTCATTTTCAGCAAGGGCCACATCAGCCTCGCAGTTGTTTTCAATGGGCCAAATGTAATTTTAGGACTGTATAAATGTAACTACTCCTTGACTAGGGGCAAGGAGCTCGACACTGCTGCCGGGTAGAAACAAGGTGCTGGGCTGGATAAAACAAGATGTAAGGCCGGATTTCAGCCCATGGGCCTTGTGTTTGCCACCTGTGGGCTAGAGCCTCCCTGCCCGGGGGGCTTCACCATTTCCACCAGCGCTCAGACCCCTCTCCCAGTCACACCTGAACTCTCTTCCTCTGAGAAGACAATCTTAGAGCCAGCAGGCAGGTGACATGGATTCCTGTAAGCTCTTCTCGTCCATTAACTGGGGAGGCAGCACCACCCTTTGCCATCACAAAATATCCCCAAGAGGAAGAGTTTAAAGTTTTGTAAATGTGGTTTGTTTTTGCGGCATTGTTGAGGGTGGGGAGCCAAATCTGGATGCTATGTCTTTTGCATGTGGACACTGGTGGACTTGGTTAAAAAATGCCTGAGGGGACAGGAGAATGGTGATGGACCTCTGGGTTTAAATTAATAAAAATTGGGGGAGGAGAGGAAGAAGGAAAGACTTTGTAATATCTGCCTAAATATTTTCAGTGTCCTCAGAGCAAAATGACTGCTCTCCACCCCAGATGTCCCCACACACAGGAGTCAAAGCTGACCTGATGTAGCCAAGTGATGAATGGCCAGTGCTGTCCTCCCCCACCCCATGACAAAGGCTGGCCCCACATTCTTTGGTGATGACACAGGGTGGGTGCCGGGAGGAAGAGAACAAGGGAAAGGCAGAAGTACCATGCTTTGCTCCAGCCCTGTCCACAGAACACTCATTGGTATTGGCCTTGATCCACAATCAGCCTTTTGGGCAGGTGGGAGGGGGATGGAGGAAGGAGAGAGCCACAGAGGAGATGAGACTGCTCTGAAAGTTTCTGAGAGAAAGAGGAAGAGCCAGAAAAGGTGGGGTTTTAAGGGGCAGAGGCAGATGAAAGGTGTCCGGAGACTTCAAAAAGGAGGAGAACTGAAGATAGGCACTTTGGTTTAGGGTTTAGGAGTTTCACCGTGACCCTTGAAGGGTCAATATATGATGAGTGTCATGTTCTCTTTCATTTAAAACTCCATTACGCTTTCCTTTTTATTATGTTTTCTGTATTTTAATACCTTACCTCCTGGAATGCAAAAATCGGGCTGCTTTTGTTTTTCTCACACTCAGAAATATTGCTCTCAGGCATAATACTGTAGTTGCCTGTTTCCTCCCATATCCTCCTGTACACGTACTGTGTCGTCAGTGGGGAGGACAAGGTCATGGCAAATGCTCTCAGGCAAATGGCAGGTTCCACAAGGAAAATCTTCATAGTGCCTGGGTAGGTAGTTGAGTTCCACAAAAAAGAAAAAAGGAACAATGAGTTGCATTCTTCTTCTGGAGGCTCGAGTTTCTGTGACGGGAAAGTTAGAGGGATTTTGTGGCGTAAACAAGCAAACCAAGGGACAGAAAGCAGTAAGCACTTTAAAAGAGAGTTAGCATCTGCGCTGGAATAGGGCGCTCAGTAAACCTTTGACTGTCAGACTTCGATTTAAAGAGTAGGACTTGCAGTGCTTACACCACCTTTAAGCCAACTTCATAAAATACTAAGTTGTTACCCATTTTGGTGACTCAGTGATCACACTACTGTCCCTATATGGTACGCTGCCAGCGGGATTTCCTAAGCAGAACAGTGAGGTTGCCCTGGGACGAGCAAATTGCACTGTTGTTTGTTATTGTTCTCTGGCTGCTCATTAACAGCGACAGGAAGGGGGCCTTTTAGAAAGCAGCTCCCAACGTTAGAGGGACTTGTTTTGTTTTGTTTTTGACTCACCCTACTGTTAGTCTTCCTGCACCTGGGGTCCCTCGGGTTTGCTCCGCGCTCGGCCACGCCTCCCGAGCAGCCGGTGTCCCCAGAGGCGCGGTCCGCCAGAATGGGAGAGCAATCTCCGTGGAATTCGACCCGATGCACCTGCCGGGAGACTACAGCCCTCGTTTGACCGCAAAGCAAGGCAAGAGCACTTCCGCGTCCACAGTGACCAAGGCGACGGTTCCCTGGGTCAGCTCCTCCGAGGCTCCGCGGCCCCGGGTACTCCGGGAGGCCCTGCGCACGAGTAGCGGACCCTGCGCGGGGAGCAGACTGTGCGGCCAGGTCGGGCGGTGCGCTGATTCAGCCCCCGCCCGCCAGGGGGGCGGGGCCGCCAGGGTGCGGGTTGGGCCACCCGCGCTGTCTCAGTCGCCCCAGCTCTTCGGCGATTGGCCTGCGTGATTGGTCCACCCAGACGTCGCTCTGCGCTCTCTAGCCTAGAGGCCTAGGCCTGGGTCTGGGCAGCACCGAAGGCGCTAGCCCAGGCGCTGTGGTTGTCGAACCAGTCTGGGTCCGGTGTTGTTTTTCACAGAAGCAAACAGGGGATCTGTGGCACAAGTAACATATTTGCCCCGCCTGTCCTGGTAGCACTCCGGGGGGCCGGGCAACGGCCCGAAGAAGAAAGGCAGAGGAGGGGGATTGGGTAGGGGACACCGGGTGCAGGAGATACAGTACTGCTGGCAGAGTTAGCCTTCGTCTGGAATGTGCTCACTGGCTCTTCCTGGTGGTGTAAACCTGGGCGAATTATTTCATCTCTGTGAACCTCCATTTTTCTCTCTCTCCATTGGTGGTAATACTCTTACAGGATTGTTGTAAAGAAACCCTCCAGCCCTGGAGCGCTGGAGGGACTGTACATGGGCTCTGGTAAGCCCATTGGGAACATAACCCCACTGTGTCCAAGCTGGGTTTATTATATCTTGCAGCTTGTAGTGAGAAGGAATGCATTCATAGGAAACCATGAAGTATTGCAGTAGGGTTTAGAACTTACTATGGAATTTGGGTTTATATTCTGTGGTTTTGAGAAGGGTTAAAAAAAGCAAAGCCTGCACTGGATCGGATGCTATTAGGAGGTGGAGTAAGTTCATGCCTGGTTGTGTTAATAAGTCTTATTTAGAAGGGCTGAAGACTAGACGGATGCTAAAGCCATCATTGAGCAGAAGCAGCTATCATAGCCATTTTTGGTCATTTTTGTGGTTTAGGTAATGTTCATGATCTGTCTGTGTTCGAACAAAATGATGGAGTGGTCTTGTTTTTGATAAGTCACAGAATGGGTCAAAAGCCTTAGATATGAATCCCAGTTACTACTCATCAGCTTGTAACATCAGAAGTGCAGCTGAACTTACTTCTCAACTTCTTCAGATGAGCACTTGTAACACAATTACTATGAGTCTGAAACCGTGGAGTGTGGATATTGGAAAGAAGGTATGAAATTATGAAGAAGATGCAGCTTCCTAGGAAAAGAGGTAATATTTTGAAACTGCAGCACATATTCAGAGTAGGCTGGGACAATGAGAGCGTCTGACTCTGACCAGGAGGAGCTTGCCTGGAAGGGAGAGGTAGAGGTCTGACTACCCCTGAGAACACAGGAAGAAGAAATGCAATAATAGATGCAACAATGCTTCTGAGGATTGTAATGCATTGTGTGATGGAGGCTACTATCACTAAAACAACCCGAGTTTGTGCTAGCTGAACCCACTTCCCAAGTGTTTCCGCTGGCTTAGGCCCTCCTGTTCACTCTCTTCACTGTCAGGGGTGCAGTGACCACTTCAGGTGCGTGGCCCCTGAAAAATCAAGAATGTCAGCATCAGACCCTGAATCTCAATACCTTAAAGCAGTAAGTCTTCCTTATCTCTCGAGCTACCTGTCCATCTCTGGGTACTGAAAGGCTTTACTCCCAACCACTTTCACTCATGGACACAGATAATGGAGCCATCATCTTAATAGTATGGCTGGCATGGGGATAGAGAGAGAATGTGATGGATCTGACACCAGCTTTTCAAGGCTTCCCCCCTAGAAATGATAGGTCCACTCCTGCTCACGTTTGATTTGCCACAGCAAGTCACAGGACTATGTGGAGAAGCTCAATCCTACCAGGTGCTCAGAAGGAGAAGGAAGTATCAGTAAGTAGCTTTAATGACCTCTTTGTCCCCAACCAGGACTTCTCATGAAAGTCCATAGAAAGACAAGGGCTCTGGAAGATGTTCTTTCTTATGGGCAATAAGAATTAGTATCTGATTGTAGGGTAAGTGGAGGCAGTCTGGCTTCCTCACCCAGGTGTCTGGCTAACTAAGGGGAGCAGTGTTCCCATAGCCTTGGAGGGGTCTGATAACTAGTGCTCTCACAGCCTCGAGACTGGGTCTGATGAACTGTTCCCATAGCATGAAGTGGGCTTGCATGCGCAGAATTATGTTATGTTACATAATGTCCTGGCAGTTTTCTGGCTTTGTTTCCCTCTAGTACTTAAACAAGTAGGGACTCCCTGTTGGGGGTGATGATGAGAGATATGCAAGGGGACAGGCGCCACTACCTGAGACATGCAGTTTGTTGCAGCATGCGTGGCTGGCCCACCCATGAATAAAGGCATGCCAGACATCCCAATGACTCTGTGAATATTTTTCTGTCTGCACGAATAGCATGGACCTGCCTGGCCTTGAAGGATGGCAACACACTGATATACTTCCAGGCTTTGCAGTCCCTGCTCTTCCACAAATGCAAAAAGCCAGGCCTCCTTAACTTATTTCAATGCATATCTCCATGTGATAACCATCTTTCTGCAAGCCTTTTTCCCCGCCAAATCATACCAGTTTGTCTGGAAAAAGTCCAGCCATTGTTAATATAACAAGAATGGTTTGTGAAACGTCGATGTAACCTGGCAGCCAAGGAGAGTGGACTGGAATGCACATGTGTGAACAATGATGACTTCACTGTACTAATCAGTGGGGGTGGTAGACAATGGCGAGTGGGCATGTGTACTATGTGGCCATCACATTCAAAATGACTGAGCGAGTGGAGCAACAAATCTGCATCCAATTTTGCACTAAGCTTGAGTATTCCTCCACAGAAACTATTCGGATGATTGAGAAGGCTGAAGCAATGGGTGACTGGTGATAGGCAGCTTCATCACGACAATGTACCCACTCATGCATCACATCTTGTGCAGAGCTTTTGGTGAAACATGGGATCACCAAGAGCATGTCAGCCCTCTACACTTGTGATTTCTTGCTTTTCCCAAAATTAAAATCACCTAAGAAAGGGAAAACTTTCACACAGTTGATGAGATTCAGGAAATAAATGACAGGGCAGCTGATGGTGACTGGGAGAACTATGTGAGGTCCCAAGGCGCCTACTTTGAAGGGGACTGAGGCATCATTATCCTATGTACAATGTTTCTTGTATCTTGTGTCTTCTTCAATAAACTTCTCTGTTTTTCATATGCATGGCTGGATACTTTCTGAAGAAGTCTTAACCAACTGCCAGTTGCAATCCATCACTTACTAGGCACTGTAGATGAAGTAAAAATTAACACCCTATAGTTCATTATCAAGAAGTATCTATTTGTATGGTAAGAAAAGATGGGAATAGCTGAAGAGTAAAAATGATTATAAAATCATCTATGGAAGTCATCACAGACCAGTAACTAGTACTGTCTATTGTTGCTCCTTGAAGGCTACCACACAAAGCCTTCTTCCCTCAAAGACTCTGAAGTAAAAAATGAGAGTTGGAGTGGCCATTCACTGGGTGTCTTCCAGCAATGTTTCTGAAACATAGGTCAACAGGGTGTTTTCTGCAGGGCAAACCCTCCGGGAGGATTGTGACATTTTATGTTTTCAGTTCAGTGACCTAGCAGTATTAATGTAAGCATATTCGGAACTGTCTTTTAATCAAGCACTGACACTTGATTTCAGTACCTGTTTTGCAATACTGTTTCTGATCACATTGGCTCCAAGTAGAAATACTTCAATGTGAGAAAAGAGAAAACCAGTGGACTAACTATATAAACAGTATGCCCCAGCCAAGTGAGACCAAATGATGTATAACATACTGTTCAAAATAACTTTTCCTGTTCTGGCTGGTATGGTTCAGTGGATTGAGCACCGGCCTGCGAACCAAAGCATCACCAGTTCGATTCCCAGTCAGGGCACATGCCTGGGTTGCAGGCCAGGTCCCTAGTAGGGTGTGTGCAAGCAGCAACCACACACTGATGTTTCTCTCTCTCCCTTTCTCCTTCCCTTCCCCTCTCTCTAAAAATAAATAAATAAATTCTTTTAAAAAATAAGTTTTTCTGGTATTCCCATAAAAAGAGTGGGAGAATCGAGCCATTACCTGACACATGGGTAGACGTGCTGAACTCAGAAGAACTCCTGCTCTACGGGGCAATGTCACAGGCAAGTGGCAAAGCCAACACAGAATATGGTAGCAACTAGATTTCGTTTGCATAAAAAAGAAGGTGACTTTTTTGGCTTTTGATGAAATCAACAAAGTAAGATGTGTTGAAAAAACCTCAGGTACACCAATTATAATTGTCAATATCGTGCTGACGAGAGTGTAATGATACAACTCCAAGTACAAATTGTTGAAAGGAAATGTAATCTGCTCTCATGACCTTGGTCAATAATATGCCAAACCGACCCAAACAGCTGTTATGTAGCTGAGATATTCATAACTGGATTTCACCCCATGTTTCTTGTCCTCTGTTGCCTTAGATACTGTTGAACAAATTCCATGTTCTTGAAATGTTCTTTCCCTCTGGGTTCTATGATATGACTCTGTCTTTCTACAACCCTGAGAGCTCCTTCTCAGTTTTCTTGGAGGGCTTGCTTCTCAAATGGTCCTGTTCCTCAGGTTCTTTCTCAGCTCCCTTCTTCTCCCCAATCATGTTGTACTTATAACTCAACTACCACAAATAGCCCAGTTGTTTCCAAATCTCAAGCTCACCTGCTTCTCTTGAATTTGACACCCATAACTTCCACCTGGCTATTTTTAAAAACCACTGCATACTTTCAAATGTCCAAAACAGATATCTTCCTTATGAATCCGATTTTTTCCAGAAATCCCTGTTTCAGTCAATGACGTCACCCTTCCAGCTGGCAAAGTCAGAGATCTGGGAATCATACTTGACTTTTTGATTACCAAATGCTGTAGCTTTTACATCATAAATATAACTGGTATTATGCCTCTTTGAGATGTGTGGCTGTAAGGCAGGTGGGCCCCTGGATCTGGAGCAGCTGGTCTAAACAGCCCTTTTCTGCCTTGGCTGGGGCAAGGAGCTCTGTGTCACCACAGCAAAATGGGCAATGGAATGTGAAGGTTGCTGAAGAGGAG